GAGAAGCTGAGTGCAACTCAAGCTGGAAGAAGGGAAACCGTTAGGAGGCTGGGTCGTGCCTGCTCCTTTACATAATTGGGTAGCTCTTCCGCCCCTGGGGAGCTGGCATGGCTGGGTCTTGACTTGTCCCTGGATTATGCCTGTGCCCTTGGCCGCTGGGATTGGCATTTCTGCTAGTGAGGGTCCTCTGGGCTTCCTTAAGATGGCTGTGGCTCAGCCTAATGTACGATTTAAAGGCGTCGGAAGACCATCTTCCAAGTGTTTGTATGTGTTGTTGCGTTAACCCTTTGTGTGCAGCTGTAGTGGCGGCTCCGATTCTGAATGAATGGCTGGAGTATGATTCTGATGGGAAGCCTGAATGATGTAGGGTAGCTTTGAGGTGTTTTTGGAACCAAAAGCGTGTCACTGGGTTGTGTGTGTCGTCTATGAACAGGGGGGCTAAGGGACTGTTGCTTAGTGATTTCCTATAGTGTATATAAGCTAGGAGTGTTTGGAAGGGGCTTGTGGAGGAGGGAATGTTAAATATGTAGATGCAATGTCCTTTTCTTGATTGATCTGTTTTGCTTTGTTTGATGAGGAAAGAAATTGTCTCCTCATCAATCAGGGTCAGATCAGCTATAGTGGGGTGAATAGAAGGATCAAATTTTGATGTTACTGTAAATTCAGAACATCTGAGAAATCCGAAAAAGGCAAGAATAAACATTGCATCTAGTGTGCGGTCTGTTTGAAAAGATGTGTAGCCTTTCCTGAGCGTGGAAATGCATTTGGAGAGTATGTTATGTGTGATGGGCAATCTGGCATCTGGGGTGGGGGGGCGTGCTTTCTGTATGCCTTTAATAAGAAGGCTGACTTGAGAGTTGGCAATGGATTCAGAAATGGAGCCGTACATGAGTTTGTGAAAAAACTGAATACCACTTAAATAGCTCTTAATGGAGTTTGCCTGCATGTTTTTATGAAAATGAAGGTATGTAATAAATGAGCTTATTGTAAGTAGGGAGAAATCTGGGAATATGGTGTTGTATGTGAAATGAAAGTGTTTGAATGTTTTCCATGCAGTGAGATATGCTTGTAAGGTCCTTGGAGCCACAGCCTGCAGAATGAGGGATATGGATGTTTGGTGCAGCTCATGCATTGGATGATTTATTGGAATATCATCTCTGAATAAGGAGGGATGGGAGTCGGGTGCTGCTCTGCCTCCGGCGCTAGTTGTCTGAATCTCTGGAAAAGAAAGCGAGAAAGAGCGTCAGCAATTTGGTTATGAAAACCGGGCACATGTATAGCAGTTATGATAAATTGTTTTTTGGATGCGGTCCAAATAAGGCGACGGAGAAGCGGCATTAAAGCGGGAGAGTGAGAGCGCCCTCTGTTAATGCAGTGCACAACGGCTTCGTTGTCACAGTGAATGAGAATGCTAGAGGCAGACCATTCGTCTCCCCATAATAAGGCAGCGGCTACTATGGGGTATAATTCGAATAAAGCAGACGAATATTGAGGTAGAGGAGTTTCCAGCATTTGAGAGGGCCAATCAGAGGCGAACCAGCGGCCTTGGTAGAAACCACCGAATCCTACCGAGGGAGCTGCGTCCGTGTATAGCTGGATGTCTACGGGGGATGCAATTAGATCGCTATACAGGAATGAGCAGCCGTTCCAGCACTTAAGGAAGGAAATCCACAGGCTGAGTTCATTGCGGCAGGGGTCGGATAACGTTATGTTAGCTTCTAAGCTGTGGACGGAAGCTGCAAGTTGTAGGAGGTGAGTGATAAACGGGCGTCCCTGAGGAATGATACGCATGGCGAAATTAAGATGTCCTAATATTGATAGCAGTTCGCGTTTAGAACATTCATGTTTCTCCAAAAATATGGAAGATAGAGAAATGATTCGATCAATTTTCTCTTTGGGCAGCGAAGCTTCAAATTTTTGGGAGTCCAAATTAATGCCTAGAAATTCTAAGCGAGTGCTGGGTCCAGCGGTTTTTTCTTCTGCAAGGGGGATACCCAGCCTAGCGAAAACTGCTTTAGTAGTCGCTAGGTGTTGAGCAGGTGGGGTATGGGGGGAGAGATGATGAGGAAATCATCAAGGAGGTGGACTACGTGCGGGATTCCGTAATTATTAGCGAGGATCCAACATATAGCTTCTGAAAGCATGTTGAAAATTTTGGGGCTGCTTCTGCAGCCGAACGTAAGACGGACTGCGAAATAAAATTGGGATTTCCAATTGATGCCAAAGAGGTGCCAGAAATCAGGGTGTAACGGCATAATTTTAAAAGCTGACGTAATGTCAACTTTAGCGAGCCAAGCGTTACGGCCGACGAGTTTAATTAGAGAAATTGCTTGGTCTATGTCATGGTAGTTCAATGAGAATTCATCGGGTGAAATTAAACTATTAATGCTTGAAAAGGCAGAATTATGAGGAGAAGACAGGTCGATTATTAGTCGTTTTTTCCCAGAAAATTTTCTGGTTGCTACGCCGATTGGACTAATCCGATAGGTGCTAAACGGGGGGGCAAGAAAGGGACCGATCATAAATTTATTATCGATCTCTTTCTTGATTAGATGATCCACCACATCTGGTTCGGCGTTAGCGGATTGGAGATTAGGACATGCGAGGTTATAGGAAGGAAGGGTCGAAACACCAGGGTGGAATCCATTAGATAGACCTGAAATGAGAAATTCAGAAAAATTAGGATCAGGGTGCAAGCATAATTCAGAATACAGATTAGAAATATCAACAGGAGTCGACAAGTAATTTCTATGTTTTTTATTTGCTTTTAGTACTTGGCAGACGACATGAGCGTGTGCGCCGCCGCAGTAGCTACAAGTGTGCAGGAATTTGCACGGGTGGCGAAAGCATCTAGCGATATTAAAGCTTTGACAGATTTGAGAAGGAGGGTTTTGAGAGGAGGGAGGAGGAAGTAGAGAGGGGATAGTGGAAGTAGAAGGGCGAGGTACGTAGCTGGTGGATTTTGGGGTTTGTAGTTCTTTATCGGCGGAGGGAATTACGAAGGGACAGGAAGTGGTCGGGTGAAGGTTAGAGCGGCAGACCGCGCAGGATAGATTGCGACATCCTAAGAATACTCTGTTGTGGAGATCAGTGTCCAAAGCCCCCCAATAAGTACACTGATTCCACTGAGTGACGCGAATTGCGCATTTAGCTGAGAATAATTTATGATATGTGTAGAAATGTGTTCCCCCATAGGAGAGCAGATGGTTTCTGTGTATCGTGCGAAGGCTACGTGAAATTCGGCAATGGAGAGTGTGCGAGTTTGTGAACTGACTGGTGGTTTAAGGGTAATAGTGAATTCGCCGCAATCCACCTGTCGCTCTGCCGAGGGAGGTGCTATGGGTGAAAGGAGTGTTGAAAGGTCTGTGTCGGCACCTGATAGGATGAGGTTTCTGATGGCATTGGAGATCGGGGGTGGTTCCAGGACTGGAGCATTTGCGGAATGGGAAGGGGTGTGGCGGTGCTTAGAGTGAAGGGGGGCCGTGCGGAAGAGATGTTAGTACGAAGAGTAGACTGTTGGGGAGGGTTAGTAATGACAGTGGGTGCTTGGTGGAGGGATGTAGAGGGGAAAAAGGAGGTAGTAGAAGAGGGGAAATTAGTAGGAAGAGGAACGGCGTTATGGATCGTAGGAAAAGTTTGAGTGGGAAAAAACTGAGTTGAAGAATGGGGAAGGTTAGAAGGGAGAATAGAATGAGGAGGGTTGAGAGAGGGAGAGATGTCTGGAAGAGCAGGAATGGAGTTTCCGCTGGAAAGTGGAGCTGGAGGCCAGAGAAGGGGAGTGGGAAGTCCTGGAGTGGCGTGATTTTCCTGTGTATTGTCTGTGTTTTGAAAGGTAATGGTAACGGGTGCAGACTGTCCAGTAGCTTGAGGTAGCTTTTTATTTGTTTTCCTGGTTGCTTTCTTGGGTGGTCCAGGGTGGTTAGTTGCTTGCTGTGCAGAAGTCGGTTGAGGATAGGGGGTGTGCCGGGATCGAGTTGGTCTGCTGTCCTGAGGGGGAGGAGTTGGTGAAGGGATGGTTTCGTAGAGTTTCAACAGTTCAGCTTTGTTGCAGCGGTTGGGGATGGATATACCGGCGTTTGTAATGGTCTGACGGAGTTCGGCGACTGTCATTTTATTTGAGATGAGGGATGAGGATCTTGCAGATGCGTATGATGAAGATGGAGAAGGTAAGTTGCGGTTTGGGGTTATGGGGGATGGAGACTGTGTACGGCGATGGGTCCTTGAAACTGTAGAGCGGATGGGTCTTCTGCCTCTTACGGGAGCTTCGGTGTTTGTTTGGTTTCCGGTTGGGGCTTGTTGTCCTTTTGCTGGTGTTCCTAGGGGAGCGGGTGTATTGTCTCTTTCCATGATGTTGTTGTTTAGTTGATGATGGCGTGTCCGTTGAATTTTTGAGTTTTGTTGTTGCTGTCGTTGTTGATTTGTAGTAGGTTGAAGTTAATGTCGCAGGCGATGGTATGGTAGATGAAGATTTGAGGATTTGAAGAGGAGCTGTGTCCGTCCTTCTGTGCTTCTTCGGAAAACGAAGATAGGGGTGTACATTTTAGCTAGGTTATTTATAGTGGGTTTGGATCGTTCCGATTGGCTAGCTAATGAGCTTAGATGAGTGGCCGGCTGCAGTCAATCATATCACGTGCTCCTCTCGAAATTAGTTTATGAAACTTCATTTAGGCAAAATTTGAAAAAGAATCAATTTCACAGGAGAGATGGAAAGTTTGGGTAACATTTTATTTTGATGGTCCATTTGAGTATTAGACTGTCTGCTTAATATCTGTTGTTACTGCTGCTAAACAGACATTTATCTGACTATAAGAAACTTTGCAAGTATATGTCAACTTACACTAACCCTAATCCAAACCTACCATTCTACTTATAATCTATTGAGAATGTGTAGGCATGTAGATGCAATGCAACTTAAATTCAACAAACAGACCATTAAAATAAAGTTTGACCAAATTTTGCCTTCTACTGTGTATAACCCATGTGATCTGATGGATTTGCAGATCCGCATCGACAGCAATAACGAGAGGAGCATCCACACCAGCCGAAGCTCTCAAGCTATGGCAGGAGACAGCGGAGGGAACCGGCAGAGACCCATAAAGGAACGCGTGATGAAGAAAGAAAAGCAGGACGGCTCCGACAGCCAGGCCGTAGTGAACGGCGTTTCGTAGAGAATAACAAGCCCCCCTTCCCCTCATTCTCCCACTCAGCTCCACCAATCCAGATGCTTCTTCATTAGAGACACATTAGGCCAAAGAGAACCAGGTCAGTAGGGCTGTCGCAAGACATGACATAAAGCACACTTTGTAATTGTTAGCGGGGTTAAAAGACGAGGTCTCTTGGTGTACGGTGTGTTGAATTTGGTAGTCTTCACGGATTAGAGAGACCGGTCTCTAAATCTCAACTGAAGCTACAGGTTTTCTAATTGACTTTCTAAATAACTACCTAAAGAAGCTGTGGATAAAATGTCTCTCATAAATGGAATAAAAACAAAAAAAAGAGCTTTTCCAAGAAATTGGTTTTTAAAGTTTGTTTTCCACAATGTCCAAAAAAAAGGGAAAGAAACGCATTGGAGGATGAACTCAAGCTCTCGACGCCCAAGTTTATGCCACATCTCATGGCATACATTGTTTTTACACGCTTTGGTGTCCATGGTTTCTCGAGCCCATTCTGATGTGAGATCTTAACCACATCATTAGCAAAAAAATACAAAAAAAATACAAAAAAAATTTAAAAAACGAAGAGAAAAAAAAAGTAAAAAATAAAAAAAATGCTCCTGTCTGGATCTGTGCCTTTAACTAGTGTGGATAGTATCATAATTTGGATGTTTAAATCAGGGAAGAAGGCGTGAACAACACCTGTCACCTGAGCAGAGTTTGTTGCAATCTCAGCCGACAACTTTAAAAACAAACAAAAAAAGGTGTTTCTTTTTTTTTCTCTGTGCTGCATGTATTTCACAAACATTTTGTATGTCTGAAAAGCAGGATTGGAAATCTATTTTGCCATAGCTGAGTTGTGAGTAGTAAAGGTATTAGCCTAACTAAACTAGTCAACTGTGGAAGTCATTGATTGTAACTAACCACCCGAGTTGAATATCAATGCTAATTCAACAATGAAAGCATTAATGAAGATTAATTTGATGTAAAGCATATCTTTGCATTTTAGAACAATTGTTTTTTGTTTTCAATAGAGGTAGCAAAGCAGTTTCCTTTAAACAAAATGTCTTTTGTTTTTTACTTGTTTTACCTCCATCATGATATAAAGGTGAATTTGCTCAGATGTTTTCTCACAAACAGGGTGGAAATGCTCTATTTTGTTTCATTTTTTTTTTTTGTTCATGCTGGCCACAGTAAACTGCCATCTTTCCTGCTGTATTTTTCAGCATCAGGTGTGAAGCACTTATATCAGATTATATCTGTAACATTGTCTTTGTCCTAACAATGGCTCATCATAGACTGAAAATGTTGAACTGTGGGATTGCATACTGTATATTATTACATCATCCGTTAAGAGATTGTTGCTGTTCTTTTTAGATTGAACTTTAAATGTGCACTTATCATGTTTGTGTTACTCTGCAAGTACTTTATAATCTATAAACCTATAATAAACTAGAATGTGATAAGACTTCTTCAGCAGGTGAATCACATGTATGCTGTCAACATAACTAAACTGAAGTTTAGATCTCTTCGCTAATTTTGAGTCTACTGTACTTTTGCAGCTTCGAGAGGGACGAGATTTGGGGGAAACACAACGTTAACTTTGATATGAGGAGAACAAAATGTCTATCTTATCCGATTAGTGCTTGTGCATTAAACTTTAGTTTACAATTTTGAGAAGACGCAAAGCTGTTCTAAACCCACGATTCTTTTGAAACCTACTGTGACGGTAAACATGGTAGTTTTTTTGACTGTACAGCAAGAAAGCCAGTCAGTTGTATCCTCTTTGCTCCTTTTTCTTAACAACTCTTTTTCATTTTATGCTCGCTAGTCAAATATCCAGCTCTACCTGTAAAGCTTACACCAGTTTCAAAGTGATTTTGCCTTGATCAGTGTCCTGTGAAAACCAAACGGAAGGGGTTACGTTTCACGCGAAATGCAAAAAAAACCTGTGACTGGCAGAGGATTTGCAGCTCTGTGGGATGGGAATGATAAACCACTCGAACGGGGCGTCCTGGCTGCATCCGGCCCCCTTTTAAAATTTAGCCTTTATTTGGAAGTAAGGTGTTAAAATGGTTTACTCTCAGTATTTTTAAAAAAACTTGCACATCTACGGTGTGCAGTAAACTGGCAAGATGGCAGAGTTCACCAGTCTGTTAAAAAAAAAAAAAAAAAAAAAACTTTGAAGTGTTGCCAAACAGACTGTTTTCTAGTTATTTATTTTTTGGAATGTATATGAAAAATGACAAATTGTAAAACCATCTCTTGCACACATCGTTAGGCTATTGTGATTTGAATAAAGAGCTGAAAAGGAATAAAAACAAACAAAAAACATGAAATACTGTAGATACTGAACCGAGGTAGACTGACCTTGTATGTTACTGCACTTTGGGTAATAATTTCTTTGTACATAATAGCAGAACAGACTGGGTTTTATGTTGACATTGTTTGGTTATAGTGCAATATATTTTGTATGCAAGCAGTTTCAATAAATAAAGGTTGATCTTCCTCTGCAATCTAAAGTGTTTTTATTCCTTCCGGGGATTGGACGTTTTACATTCCATATGTCGTCATAAAACTGGCCGTCATTAAACGTGACAGAATATCTTGATTAGGCGGCAGATTCCTCAACGCGTTAAATGTTATTGTTGCTCGTTGTGTGGTATGGTTAATGTTTTCTTTTTCACCGCTTGGTGGAGCTGTGACACAGACCAACTCCCGCACCACAATGACAGCAGGACTGTTTTTTCTTACTAATGAGTGCTGGCTGAACATCAGCATTTTAATAGGGTGAAAGCAGGTGAGTTGGGACACTTTCTGACATTGAGTTGTTTTACCTGAATATATATAGCAGCTGCACATTCTGCTGTGTTCTGCTGTGAAAAACAGTTCACTTGTTTTATTTCAGAAGGAAAGGAATTATTAATAATAATAATAATAATAATAAAATAATCTGCTAATGGGGTAAGCAAAATAATCTTATCTCAAAGGGAAAAAACAAGATTATTTTGCTTACCCCATTAGCAGCTTGTTTTGAGGGAAAAAAAAACTCACTTAATATTTAGTGTTAGGATAATTACAAAATTTTCTTATTTGAATTGTTTTTTATTTTGTTCTGTGAAATACCTTATACTTTTAAACATAAGAGTTTTTTAAAATCCCTACTCAAATTATGATTTTTATTAATTATGATTTTTTTGTTGTTGTTGTTGTTGTTGTTTGTTTTGTATAATTAATGTAGCCTTCATTTTTGGATTGATGCAGTCAAAGTTACTGTTTGACAGTTAAGTCTGAATGTCGGATAATTAAAGGGGTAGTTCACCCAAAGCTGAAAACTCTGTCAGCATATACTCATCCTCCGCTTGTATCAAACCTGTTTGACTTCCTTTCTTTGATGAACACATAAGGATATTCTGAAGAAAGCAGGAAGCTCACTTTATTTTGATGGTCCGTTTGTTGAATTAAGGTACATTCCATCTACATGCCAAGTTGCCAACTAATGCTCATTAGATTATAAATAGGCTGTTGGGTTAGGATTAGGGTTGGGATTAGGCAGGGTTAGTGTAAATTGACGTACTAGCTAAGTTTCCTATTGTCAGTTAGGCCGTACTCACACTAGGTACAGTTGCCTCGAACCGGGCCAAGGCATGCTTGTCCCCCCTCCCGTCTCCCTCGACGGCCCGCGCTCACACTATATTGGGCCTTGGCATGCTTACGTCATCGCTGCTGCTCTGTTCAGTCAGAAGCTCTCTCTATGGCAAGCCTTTTTAGCATTTAAATCTTTGTTCTGACTCCATAAATATATTTAGAGATATCTCTAATTATATTTTGACTAGTCATAATTATAATTCCACTACTCAGAATGACAATTAGAGATATCTGCATTTGCAATTGTACTAGTACGAAATCAGATTGGAGATATCTGCAAATATATTATGACTAGTCATATTCCTCCATTGACTTCCATTGAAAAATATTTGCAGATATCTCTAAATGAGTTTTGATTAGTCACAATTGTAATTAGAGATATCTCTGAGTTTTTACTAGTCATAATACATTTGGAGATATCTTTAATTCGTCATATTTAGAGATATTTACAAATAAATTTGAAGATATCTCTAATTAATTTACTAATAGTCGAATTACAGTTGTAGATATCTTGAATTGGATTTTTGACTAGTCAAAATTCATTTGGAGATATATCTAATTACAATTGTGACTAGTCAAAACTCGTTTAGAGATATCTGCAAATATTTTTCAATGGAGGAATATGACTAGTCAGTCATAATATATTTGCAGATATCTCCAATCTGACTAGTCGAATTATAATTATGACTAGTCAAAATATAATTAGAGATATCTCTAAATATATTTATGGATAGTCAGAACATGGTTTAAATGCTAAAACGGCTTGCCATACGCTCTCATCCAGCAGCACAGTGGAGATTTCTCTAGTTTTATCCTTTCAGTCGTTTGTTTTGCATTGACATGTAGTCAAATATTTCGCCAAACAGTCCTTAGGGATGCGGTGACACGCAGTCAGATATGTCACCGGACAGATCCGCCACTTTTGGCACTCATAAACAATCATAAAGCCCTCGTGCTGCAGGAATAAGGAGGTCTGCTGAAGGCGCGCAGCTGACGTGCAGTGAGGAGTTTGCGTCTTTAATAAACTACGGCAGTTTGCGATCACTGAACAGTAAGAATGATTAATAAATCCATATGAAACAACCCCTTAAAAGTCACGTATCGCTTTTAGTTTCGGGCTTTGTCGCGTTTTGCACTCACACACAAGCATACAGCGCCAAAGCCCAAGTGATCTGCGCTCAGGCACACCTCTTGCAACCGGACCAGGGCCGGCCAAGTGAACCGTGCTTGAGCCCGATTCAGCGCACTCGCACTTCTCAAACGATCCGGGAAACGGGCCTGGGCACGGTACGGATGGCATAGTGTGAGTAGGCCCTTAAATATCTATTGATGAAGCAGTATCAACAGCTTTTAAGCAGACAGTCTACTAATACTCAAACGAACCATCAAAGGTGTTACCAGAAGGAAACCTGTAACCATTGACTTCCAAAGTAGTTGTATTTCTTAATATGCAAGTCAATGATTACAGGTTTCAGGTTTTTTCAGAATATCTTGCTTTGTACTTTTCATTCATACTGTTTCATTGGATTTGCACAAGAGCTGACAGAAATTTAGCTGATCTTCCTTCTTTTTTTTTTTTTGCAGGAGGAAAGGGCCAATTATTTCCGACCGCAAACAAAGTCTGTTTTTACACTGAAATTCATGCCATCATGCACCTGACGGATCCACCAGACTGACCTAGTTTCCTCTACACTAACAACCACACTGAAGCATAAACAGTGACCAGGGGCCTCGCGTATCAACGTCCCGTACACACCAAAACTTTGCGTATGCCAGATTTCACACTCACGTTTGGATTTACTAATGATGAAATTAACGTGAGAATGTGCGTTGGTCTGCGCCAACTTCATGTCTGGCGTACGTGTT